AGGGAAAGCCTAGACGTGCACCTGAGGCTGAAGAAAGTGGCTCTGCAGTTAGAAGTGCATACTGCTCTTGCAGAGGACTGGGGTTGGTTCCCAAAACCCACTACGTGGGTTAGCTCACAACCACCTGTAACTCCTGCTCCAGGAAATCTGATGCCCACTTCTGTGCTCTGGGCAGATGCACACAGACACACACAGTTGAAAGATAAAGAAGTATACCTGAGAGCTTGGTGACTGCCTCTTCATGTGCTTAGTACCCAATGAATGAGATAGGTATTGAGAAGGAGTACTAGGAGCTAAGAGAGTATTGGTCTCTCACTCATCCACAGTGCTTTTTGAAAAATGCAAGACAGTTCAGAAATCCTCACACTCTGGAGGAACAGCCTTCTATCCAGAGGAAACATCTTGAGAGGGAATTGAAAGGACTGGAAAGTGACTTCAGTTACCCCTGGTTGGCATAGTGTTGTATAGAGTTCACTGCTTGAGCAAGCTCAGGAAACTATCATTCTCAGATGGGCAATTTGATGAGGGATGTCCTTTTATATGTTTCTCCTATTGGTTGGTGAGTAAAGCTGTTACAGCCAATGGACAGGCAGGATGTAGCCAGGCAGGAAGTATGGGTGGGGCTACCAGACTAGGAGAATGCTGGGAAGAGGAACACAGAGAGTGAGTCACCATAGAGACTCCATGTAACTACCACTGGGAAGGTAGGACACCTGAGCATTCTCCAGCCAAGACTACGTGGAGATACATAGATTAATAGAAATGGGTTAATAATTAAGAGAGAGCTAGCCAATAAGCAGCCTGAGCCATCGACCAAACAGTTTATAATTAATATAAGCCTCTGTGTTTTTTTGGAACTAAACTGCTGCAGGACCAGGCAGGACAGAATCTTCAGTCTGTAGTATTACATAGTGCATCAAACTAATTTCCTCAATGCTGCACTGCTTAAAAGAAAGCTAACATGCTACAAGCCGTAGTGAATCTAAGAAAAGGAACAGGGCTGGGAAGTAGTTCAATGTAAGTACATCCCATTTAGCATGCCGAAGGCCCTGGGCTTGAACCCCTCTACAAAGTGTGACAGGGGAAGTAAACAGATAAATGTGAAGATCATAAAATGATACCAGAGGATTTGAGTAAATGTAGATTCCTGAGATTATAGGTGTTAGGATTAGTTAAGTGTGAGATACATGTAACAGGCTTTGAGATGAATTAGGAAATTCTCTGAGCCTAATATCTTCATTCAAGAAGAGAAAAGAAGTTGAGCATGGTGACACACATCTGTAATCGTAGCACTTACGAATTGGAGGCAAGGGCATCAGGACATCAAGGCCAACTTTGGTTACATGAGAACCCATCTCAGGAAAAAGAGCCCCCCCAAAAAAAATTAATGAAATGAAATAAGGATTAAAGTAATACTTTTCCAAGCTGTGAGATTTTAATGTGTTTATCTGACATACCTAATACAGTAGGTGCCAATAAATGTTCCTTTCCTTCTTATTTTAAAGGTAGTTTTATATCATAAGATATGTCTGCAGAGTTGGTTTGTTGTAGTGATTAATGCTGGCTTTGTGTAGCTGTTGAAAAGTAAGGATTATTTTACTTTGAGGAACAATCGTTGATGAAAGAAAAAGTTAGTAAAAACTTCAGTGGTAATACAGACTTGCCACGAGTTTATATCCGAACAGCAGTCTGAAGAGTGGCACTCTAGTAACAGGCTTTCCAGCCTAGGTCCAATGGTCTTTGGCTTTTTGTTGTTGTTTTAATGTTTTTTTCATCAACCCTTAAAAATGTAAGCTTCCAGTTCAATAGCTGTAATCCCACACTTGTGAGGCAGAGACAAAAGGATTGTGGGTTCTAAGACCAGCTTGGGCTATGTGTCAAGAGACCATGGTGTCAAAGTTAAATTAAAAGTAAAAAGTATTCCTAACTCACCCAACTGTAAACAGGTGGCATCAGACTTGGCCCAGGGGTCATATTTTTCCAACCCTTATTTCATAACTATAAAATCATTCCCACGGTGGTGGTGGTGGCAGTGGCGGTGGCTGCGCACGCCTTTAATCCTAGCACTCGAGAGGCAGAGGCAGAGGCAGGCAGATCTCTGTGAGTTCAAGGCCAGCCTGATCTACAGAGTGAGTTCCAGGACAGCTAGGGCTGTTCCACAAAGTAACCCTGTCTTGAAAAAGGAAGGGGCGGGCATTCCCTGTAGCTATAGATTGATGGCTTGCCTGTTTATGTGTGATGTGATAGATCAATGCTTCCAACCTTATTCAGATTAGGTCAGAATAAACGAAGGATGAGAATTATCTTGTCTTTGCTGGGAACTAATAGGTTTAATTCTGAAAGAGATCCCAAAGTATATGATTTGCTGTTTAAAGATCTCAAAGCCTATAGCTAGCAAACTATAACCCACCTACTAGTAGTTCCTAAAAAGCCAGTGCTGCCTACCGCAAGTTCATTTCATACTTATATACTAAGAAAATTAGAATATAGTATTTTATGACACATGACAGTTATGATTCAAATTTTAATATTTGTTAAGTTTTACTTGTATCCAATCATCCTTGGTCATTTGCTTCTGTCTCTGCCACTTTGGCATTGCTGTCACAGCCTTGACCAGCTACAGTGGGCATCAGATGGCCACAAGGCCTATACTTACTGTTTGCTCAACTCCCAGCTCAGCCCATACTTTTTGTTTTACAGGCAGATAGCTTATATTCTGTTTCTCCTCTGTTGTCTTATTTTCCTGAATGTAGAGAGATGTACAAGTAGGACATTTATGGAGGAAGCTGACATTGCAGCTTCTGTAAGAGAGGGAAGGAGGAACACAATGAAAATGTACTTGCCATCTGGAAGAGGTTAGAGATTTCAGAACATGGGCTCACTGGTTAAGTGCTTATCTAGCCTATGTGTCTGCGCACCTGGTTTCCAACCCCAGGAAAGTGCACACACAAGTGCACAGAGCAGTGCTAGCAGCATTGACAGTCCCAAATCTGGTCTGCCCACAAGATCCTTAGGACAAGCAAGAAGACAGTAGTAGACGCAGCAGTGTTTACTTCAGTAACACAGAAAACACAAGGAGAAGAAACGGAGTGCTTTAGAATGTAGCTCTCACCGCCTCTCCCACCTTTCTGAAATGTAGCAATCCTGGGAAGTTTTCTAATGCCCAAGAAAACTTTGAAACCCCTTACAGTTACTTTACTCTTCCCAGAAAAGTTCCAGTACTGAAAAATAGGGAGCTGGCTGAAGTTGTCTTAGATCCTTCTGGGAATGAAATGTAGGGTATATAAATAAATTCACAATTGCACATTATCAATTTCTGCACTACTTAAAACACTGCAATGAGTTCTCTTGTGCTGTATGTTTGATAATAATACAGAGAAGATGCATTTGAAACCAGAGATAGCTAACAGTATTGTACCTGCAGTTCAGTAGCTCAGCAGTATATCTTATAACCTACTCTGATTTTTTTCTTTGAAACATTAGGTGTCCTGGTTGCCTATGAAGGCTTGCCCCTTCATCTTGCACTGTTCCCCAAACTTTGGACTGAGCTATGCCAGACTCAGGTAAAGCAAGTGGTCTTTACATGATCTCTGATTTCATCCAACCATATACCCGGGAATTTTTAGAACAACCAGTTGAAAACTAATTGACCAGAAATTGGGAATGTTGTAGAATTAAGGGATGTACTGCCTGCTGGAATTTTATTCCAACTCAAGCTCAAATAAGCTGTTTATGATGGATTTCTTATCCATGGCTCACTAGCAGCAGTTTCTGGTAAAGTCTGAAACCCAGAGACAGTAGAGGAAGCAAGCTCATGGCCTCCCAGCTCTCTCCCAATGGTCCTTTCCTCTTTACACTGATATCTCTAGCAGAAACTGTGCTGCTTGGTCTTCAACTCTGCCTATGTTTTCTCCCATCAGTCTCACCAAGACAGGACAGTTTTAGCTAAAACCAAATAGAACAGGGAAAGGCTCCCTCACCCATTTGAAATTTCAGAGAGTTACCCCCAGCCAGGTATAGTAATGCATGTCTGTAACTGCAACCCAAGTATATGCTGGAGTAGAAGGATAGCCACAAATTCAAAGCCAGCCTGGGCTATATAACAGGGCCCTTCTTAAAAATAAAATAGTAAGTGATGAAAATCTTTAAAGCCAGCACATCAGCACCTAAGTATTGCTTGTAAAAATGCTGACGAATTTGTGAAGAGGGAAGCCAGACTAGTCTAACCTTCAGTTTGTCTCAGTACTTGGATATGGCCTAGAGAAAGGGTCCCCACATATCAACTATTTGATTTCCTTCTGGTTGCCTCTTCCCATGTTCACCATGCTGTACCATAATGGTTATTTCCTGCCCCAGACCATAAGACTGTCTGTTCCTTTAAAAAATGTTAGTTTTCTATAGTACTCATTATTGCTGAACAAAAGTTTCTAAACTGTTACTACAAACACAAAACACATTTTGCTTGTCTTCCTGTAGCAGATTGCTACAGTTCCACCTATCACTGAAAGGGTTCAAGTCCCCAGCTGCTAACTACAATGTTCCTTTTCCCCACTTTAGTCCTCCATGTCCAAAAACTGCATCAAGCTTCTGTGTGAAGACCCTGTTTTTGCAGAGTATATTAAATGTATCCTGATGGATGAAAGAACTTTTCTAAATAACAATATTGTCTATACATTCATGACACATTTCCTTCTAAAGGTATGTATGTACTTCTTCTGAAATGTCACTTCTGCTTTATTAATGTGTGATTATGTTGGTCTTGAATGTTAAGACTTATTTTGCATATGCACGAATGCACAGACATGTGTTCTTTTCCAGGTTCAAAGTCAAGTGTTTTCAGAAGCAAACTGTGCCAGTTTGATCAGCACCCTTATCACAAACTTGATAAATCAATATCAAAACTTACAATCTGATTTCACCAACCGAGTTGAAATTTCAAAAGCAAGTGCTTCTTTAAATGGGGTAAGAACTGTGCCATAAATTCAAAACTCACCTTAAAATCAACTATTAAAAACTATTTTAATGTACACTGAAAGCACACACTTTCCATTATTGAGAACATATGACCAAATGGCATTCACCATGTTAAGGGCAACAAGACCAGTAAGAATTAAGATAGTGGCACACACCTATAATCACAGCACTTTGAGAAGCAGTGGCAGGAAGACCACTGGCAAATTGGGAGACCAAGTTAGCCAGGGCTAGAGGGATCTGACTCTATCATCAAAAACAGTAAGTCCCTTTATCTCTGTATTTTGAAATTTGTGATAACTGTATTATCTATGGCTCCCAAGTAACCAGAACAGTCACATTTAGGGTTATAAAGGCAGCTAAGACTACAAAGTAGTTGATTTATGTAGATTCTATGACAGTCATAGAATGGAACATGCTGGAAACATGCACACGATCATTCAGCAGCAGCCCCCAGCTATGAAGATGCTTACAGGCTAAACAGCGTTTCTTTCTTCTTTTTCAGAACACCAGAGTTAAGCTTGAGAAATTATGGCTCCTATGAAATAAAATTTATTTAAAATGACATTATTATTTGAAGTTACTGTTTAAACCTAAGCTGCATTATTTGGTTTCTGTTTTAAGTGTTTACTCTGGCTTACTTGATTGACATAGGCACAAAACAGTGGTATAACTGACACAACTGATAGAATACTATAATGTCCTGATGCTGGTTTTAGCATTATTTCACATGGCCAGAGAAGCCAGAGTAAATTCCTAGGGAGTAGACATCTTCATTTAACCATGGAGTTTTGTCAGGATTTGAACTCCTTCTCTCTGGGTTTTGTAGGACCTGAGAGCACTTGCTCTGCTCCTGTCAGTGCACACTCCCAAACAGTTGAACCCAGCTCTGATCCCAACTCTGCAAGAGCTTCTAAGCAAGTGTAGGACTTGTCTGCAGCAGAGAAACTCACTCCAAGAGCAAGAAGCCAAAGAAAGAAAAACTAAAGGTTAGCTTTGTCAACAAAGCCATTGCTGGGGCAGGGACTGGGGCTGGGAGGATAAAGACAAGCACTACCAAAATTAAAGGCTAAAAGCAAGACTGACTTCCCTCAGTTGCCCCAGCAGGGGTTTGGTCTTCTTTTGAAGATTGTTTTAACGTACTTCTCCCCACAGATGATGAAGGGGCAACTCCTGTCAAAAGAAGGCGAGTGAGCAGTGACGAAGAGCACACTGGAGACGGCTGCCTTGGCGACATAAAAACAGATACCAGGGAAGTCCTGACACCCACTAGCACCTCAGACAATGAGACAAGAGACTCATCCATTATTGATCCAGGGACCGAGCAAGACCTTCCTTCCCCTGAAAATGGCTCTGTCAAAGAGTATCGGATGGAAGGCCCATCTTCGTTTTCAGAAGACGGGCCACATGTCCGGTCACAGCATGCAGAGCAACAGTCTACCAGTGGCAGGTTTGATGACTGTAAAGAGTTTAAAGACCTTCACTGTTCCAAGGATACTACCCTAGCTGAAGACGATTCCGAACTCCCTTCTACTTCCATCTCTGCAGTCCTGTCTGACTTAGCGGACTTGAGAAGCTGTGACGGTCAAGCCTTGTCCTCCCAGGGCCCCGAGGCTGCGTTATCTCTCAGTTGTGGCCATTCCAGAGGCCTCTTTAGTCACATGCAGCAACACGACATTTTAGATACCCTGTGTAGGACCATTGAATCAACAATCCATGTGGTCACAAGGATATCTGGCAAAGGAAACCAAGCTGCTTCTTGACATTAGATGTGGCATGTCTACTTTCCGCACCCCTCCCCTACGCCGTTTGTCTACATTTTGCTTATTTGTTTTGTGCTTCAGTTTGTCCAGTGCTCTCTGCTTGAATGGCAAGATAGATTTATAGGCTTAATTCTTGGTCAGGCAGAATTCCAGATGAAAAATTTGCATCTTCTGTATACTTTCTAAAGGGCAATCAGATAATGGATATGTTTTATGTAATTAAGAGTTCACTGTAGTGGCTTTCAGTTAATATGGCTTTCTGGGAGAATCAGGGCTCTGACCCTGTACAGCGTAATTTAAACTTACAGCATTTTTACTGTGTATAATATGGTGTCCTCTGTGCCAGTTTTGTACCTTAAAATAAGAGAGGCAGATTGCCTCTGATCGCTGTGGTTCTTATCAAAATTAAGTTTACTTGTACACGGAACAACCACAAGAAATTTGATTCTGTAAAGAATCCTCTTTAGCTGTGGCCTGGCAGTATATAAATGGTGCTTTATTTAACAGAATACCTGTGGAGGAAATAAAGCACACTTGATGTAAAAATAACTGTTTTATTTTTATTGAAATGACTGACCCTGTTCTGTGTACTTAATTAAACTGACTGTGATGACTTTGCTTTGTTACGTAAGTTGTTTCGGTTTCCTCAGATGACAGCAGTAAGCAGACTGAAGGGAGAAAGGATTCTGCTGTTTGAGAAGTCCCCAAGTCCAAAAAATAACTTACCATGTGGATGTCTCATTTCTCCATCCTAATGTGATTGCTTGGAAGCCACCAAGAAGAGCCAGAGAAGTGTGACAACACAGCCAACTAACCCTCACCACAACACTCCTAAGAACTACACCCTGAAAACTGGAGTGAAATAAAAGTAGTGTAACATGCCATTTATTTGTCTTCAGCTTAAATCAACTAGCATGAAGTAGCGTGTTGTGACCAGCCTTAGTTTGGGGAACTGGACCTCACCTACTTTGCAGAGAAGACCACCCATGGGAGGTGAGGTGACACCTGGTTTTACGCAGTGCAGTGTCCAGAATGCTTAGAGCAATGCTTTTAAATTTTGTCGTTTCATGAATTTCATCCAGTATAAAATAAATTAGGGACCTTGGGGTAGGGGGATCTTTTTGAGAAAGAAAGAAGAGGCAGTAAGACAGGTTTCTGCTTACAAAAGGATGTCCTTATAAAACCTAACTAGTTCAAGCATTCTGGGTGGTGAGCTGAAGTAGACCTTTTATTTCTTCAAAGTGCTGCTTCTGCCAACACAATTTTGTGTTCTCTTCTTTACAGACAGGAACTCCTTTACAGTCCAATTGTAATTCCGTTTGCCCTGGAGCAGGCACGAAATTCAATGCAACTGTTGCATAGTGTTCTGGGGGAAAAAACCAGGAGCCTCATTATGACATCAGGAAGAAAAAACGGTCCATACCAGCTTTAGTTTGCTGGGATTCCATATGTAAGCTGCATAGGACATACCTTCTGGCCAGCTCCTGCATCTCCATTTCATGATGATCTTCCTATTTGTTAACTGAAAACAAAGGAAACAGTTCACTGAAATCATTTGTTAAAACTTTTTTCATCTTAATACTAGAACCAATAAACACACAATCCTGTCTTCCAGTTTACGTATAATGCTTTCCAGTGTCCTTGGCAACATTAATGCCAGGGACACAGCTATGGCAATGACTGACAGCTGCAGAGCTGATTGGAAAGGCCACTGGTAGCTGTCAGCTTGGACCCTAATGGCATAGACTGCTGGAAGCAGCAGAGCGTGAAGTCTCCAAAACAAAGTGGACAGAATAGGAGGTGTTAAGCTGCTTTTTGAAGAATTACTATCAAAGTAAGTCTTAGTCCTTATTTTATAGACACATTTTTCTTTTCTACAATGAACCTTATTAAAAGAATCTGAGCCTGAACTCATCGAAACCTTTAAAGCAAGTTACAAGCAGCATGAATGAGAGGCGCAGCATCCCCCAGAGCACCACTGTAACATAATCTTGCAGTCACTCACCAGTTCCACATATTCTCCAGTGATGTTCCCGTCAAACATCTGGAATTTCCCTCCCTTTTCAGCTTCTAATACAGCAGGAGATTTGGAAAATTTTTGCACCAACTAGCCAAACAAAACAGACATATTATTCCAACACATGCTGTCACCCTGTGCATGTAGTGAGGAGTGCACCAGCCTTACATGCCAGGTCAGGGTTTCACCAATAGTGTGGTTGGTTTTAATTTTGTTGGCCATCAAAGCTTTCTTCTTTAGGGAAACATATATCCCTAACTGCTGATAGAGCCCACCACAAGGGCCCACCATCCCTTCAAGTTTTCCTGCTTCTCATCCAGTGTTCTTTGCAACGTAGCTTCAACCCTCAAGTTTGGTAGAGTAGCTTAGGGCATGACTTACGTCTTTCACAGTGAAGATACTGTACAGCTGTTCTACTGTCGTGTCAAACAGCTCCGTCAAGTGCAAAGCTACAGTGGGAATCCTTACACCCAGTGCCACTGGAGAAGCCTGTACCTCAAGATGAAAAAGGGGTTCAAGAGGACGATGAGTACACCAGAAGAAAATGGCAGGATCCAAAGGTCAATCCTACAAGTTGCACACTGCTCCTCCTCTCATGTAAGAGCAACATTCATGCTCTTTGTTCGAGCTTGTTCTTACGAGCATTTCACCTCCACTCCATCGCAGGCTTGAGCTAACACCCCTGATCTTAGTTAGACCTGCACACGGCCCCAGAGCATGACAACAGGATGAAAGATGACCAGACTCTAAGGGTTAACTCCATGAATACATTCCTGTTCCCTAACTCTGAAAACATCATCTAGACTCTACAATCCCAAATTCAAGGCAGAAAACATTCTAATAACGTGCTGTGAGCCTCAATGTCGCTTGCTTTTGCTGGCTGTGCTGGTTCAGGCTCCTACTCCAGCAGTCGGTCTGATGACTTACAGTAATTTTGAAGAAGTGCAGGCCTGTTTAGTGTTCTCATCCATCAAGCATTGGAGCCTCAGGCTACAGGTAAGTTCTGTGGTAGGGAGCATGCCCAGCATCTAAAAGCCCTCAAACTTGCACAAAAAAGCAAAACAGTTGCATTTTCCATTTCCACAAAATGATATCAGCATTAATCTCAAGGGGAAATGTGTAGTCAACACCCTTTCCTCACCTACAACACAGTGCCATCAAAAGGTGGTCTGGAAACTGATTAGAGGCTCATACCTGCAAAGTGTTTCCAGTCACTTTCCTCTCAACAGTCAGATCCTGGGTTGCTACAGCTTTGGTAGGTAAAATCATTCCTGTAGTAAATTCTATAAGGAAATAGGAAAAGCTTATTAGCATTACTTCCTTTATCTAAACTGGTATTTTTCAAAAGAACATTTTGAGGCCTTGAAAATAACTCCCATGTTTTTACATATATTACTAATGCTTACTTGTAAGCAAAGGCCCTTTATTCTTTGTTCCAGTGCTTACTTTACCACATTCCTTTAAAATACTAATTTTTCACAAGTTCTTTTCTAAATGCCTAGGTTATACATAGTTATTAATAATAATTTATAGCTTAACGGCCCTCGCCTCTCCACTTCCCTAGCCTCACGATGCTTATTCTTACTTGGTCTTCATGCCTGGGAGGTCTTGTGGAAAGTAGTGAACCCCTAGACACTCAAATGAGCAAGTTTCAGGGGGCAAGTTGCAGAGAGCCCTCCTGGCCACTCTGCCAGGGTATCAACTCTTAATCTGAGAAAATGACAACAGCCTAGGTGTTATCCTTGTGTTATAGATACCTGTGATATCTGTGGTAACTTTCATTCATACATTCATTCACCCAGCAAAGATTTATGGAGCACCTACTGTTTGCCAGGCATTGTGCTAGATGCTGGAGATACAGCAGTGAACAAGAGAGACACCTTCCATGCCCTCATGGAGTATATAGTCTAGCAGGGAAGACAGATGTTAAACAAGTAATTACAAAACAACTATTCCATTGGAGAGGGGAGTGCATTTGTTTCCTCCTTTTTGACTGGGATCTCACTATGTAGCCTAAACTACCCTCAAACCTGCAACAATCCTCCCACCTCAGCGTTCCTATACTGAGACTTAAGTGTGCCACTGTGCCCAGCTCAGGAAACAAGTGGCAGTTATTACAGTCTTACCACAGCTAGCTTTCAACACCCAGACTACAACTTATTCTGCAGTCTAAGGATGTTTCAGGAGCCTGCCTTGGGAACCCAGCCCTCATGCAGAGCGGAACTTGGGTAAACAGCGAGGGACCCTCTGGTTCACAAGGGATGCCTTTTTACCCGTCTTCAGTGCCTTCAGGTACTCTGCAAGGGCCGCCCTGACCTTGGCGGTGCCTGTGGTTTTCATAAGGTCCTTCAGTGTGTCCCCATCTCCTTTCTTTTTACTCACGTTCACCTACAAATCAGAAAAACAAAAACCTAAGAAAAAACTGGTTGAATGTATTCTTCCAACATTGGCTCCTACTGAAAACTGAGCTGTGGACGATAGAAGTGGTTCAAGAAACATAGGCTACAGAGGAGCTAAGAGTCTTTGAGGTCAGTCCTGGCAGCTGTGTTGTGAATGGACTGAATTTGTTTTAAAACTATCTAAGTACAGGAGTTAAATTGCTTATAGCTTTATCTAGAGAGGGTTTGGTTTGGCAGCTCATCTGTGGCTGAGCACTTTACAAGTGCCTGGTCTGAACTATGCTGTAAGAACCAATATACCAGATTCCAAATACTTAATACTAGGGGGAAAAAAAGGTAAAGTACCTCATCAACTGTTAATTATATGTTAAAACATATTTACTCTCTACTGAATTAAAATTTTAATTATTTTATCTGGTTTTTAATGTGGCTACTAGATAAATTGTATAATGTGGCATTTATACTAACAGTGCTAGTCTATAAACCCAAAGCTATCATCCAGGAAAATCAAATCAAGTTCCCATATTCTTGGCAGAGAAAAACCAGCTAAGGGAGAGGAGAAAAATGGAAGAGGAGAATAGCTCGAAGGAGGCAGGGATGCAAGTGGTCCCAGTGACTCTGGGCTGGGCTGCATGCTACTGCAGGATGGATCTTTAGAAGACCTGTCTAATATGCCACCAGGACGCTGCACTGCTGATGAGCTCTATGTGGTGAAACACAGTCTCAAGGTGTGTCTGAGATACACCCACTTTATAAGACCTGAGACATAACTTAGACACACTTTTGTCAGTGTCCAGCTTTGGAAATTACAGCTGTGTACAAGTCTTGCCGCCCCCCCCCCCCCCAGAGACAATGTGAAAAGTCAAAGTGGGCATAGGAAGAAGCTGGCTCCTCTCAGGGGGACAAGAAAGCCAGCAAGTCACAACTGGTTCATAAAAGAAGAAAATGCAATGAGAACCCAAAGGGCTAAAGGCTGAGAACTGCCTGTTAGGGGGAAGCAGTCACGTTGAGCCGGCCATACAAGTGGCCAGATCTCTTCCAAGCTCACACCTTGTCCCATTTAACCTGAACACATCCCTGAACACATTAACTGCACAGATGAGAAAGCCAGGCTGCTGCAGTCAGGTACCTGCCCGGGTTCCCCGCCTGGTCCTGGGAGTCTGAAGCTTCCGAGGGCTTCCTCTTTCCCACCTGTCCTCTAACGCCCACAGTGCAGTGGTTCACAACCTCCACAGCTCACAACTACCACAGAGCAGAAACTTGACTAGAAAGGAGAACTCCAGCGGTACCTCAGTGTCATCAACTTCATTTTCTTCAGAAAGGCTGGGTATTTCAACTAATCCCTTGTGTTTTGCACCAGATTCTTTAATTGTACCTAAAATGAACAAAATGGGCACAATTAATAACTGGCTTTATCCCAAAGTCCTCTGCCCCGAACAGGGTTATGGGCACATGAGAAGACAGGCAGGGTGGATGGGTCTGCAAACTGGCGTCCCTAAAGCGCCTTTGCCACTGCCACCCATCCCCCTTGTCTTCCAATGCTCTTTGCCAGGGAAAGAAGACACCAGCGGGACAAGTGAGCAGATGGACGTGTGCACAGGGAGGGGCAGTGAGCTCTGACTGTGGAAAGCTTCAAAAGCTGTGGCTTGGCAAAGCCTGTGTGGACTTGGTGAAGCTGGATTTCTTCCCAGACCAAGTGCTTAAGGACGCAGTGGAGCACAGGTCCCCGCAGCCAACTTGGGGTTAGACTTGGACATTTCCTCGTCTTAACTGCATATCACCCTTATTATACTGGCTGGGGGTTGCGGGGAGGACTTAATATAAATTTACTCATTTTGAGTACCAGGCTCACAGGCAACAATAGTCATAAACAGTCACACGGAGACACCCGAGCATGATGTAAAGGCAGCTCATTGCCACAAAACAAGGTGAGAAGGCTCCACCACCCACAACAAGCTGCCCTCCAGTCCCTTAGGAGTTGACTTTCTGCCACATGGCATCAGGAGTGACTGGTTTTCTGAGGCCCAGACCATATATGGGACACCTACAAATGTCGGTTGGTAAATTTAACACATTAACTTAACCTAGACTTCATACCTTCTAGAGCCTGGAATACTTGTTTACTTTTCAAAGCACAACACAGGCCACACTCATCAACTACTGAGAGAGCAAAGCCCTGAGACACGGACCTGACTGAAGAAGAGTGCAGACCAACTCGCAGCACTCACAGACTCTGGCCTCTCCTCAGTGATAGCAAACAAACACTGGCAAAGCCTCCTACTATCAGAAGAGCCCTCTTTGGCTTCGACAGAGAGCCCAGGCTCTAGAAGCACTACTCTGACTAGACTCCCTGATGGGAATGCAAAGGTCAGCCCCAGAGCCCCTCTGCCTCTTCAACCTGAGATGCCCACAGACGTGGCGGCTGGCAAGGGAGGTGCCAAGGCACGGGATGAGGGTGAATGAGCGAACCCTTAGGATGCTGGCCTGTCCACTTGCCGTTACTTCTTGCCCTTAGCAGTCACAGGGTCCATGGCTTTTTGCCCATTTTGGTCTCTTTCCCCCCACCTAACCTACCCCCCAAGATGATGGATGGGCTTCAAGGTCTTGTCCCACACATAGACAACAGGAATACCAATTATCATATTCAGCTCCATGATAGCCACTTCAGAGGGACCTTCAAGATCTGCCCGAAAGACTTTTCATGGCAGCAGTAGATGTTTCTTTCCCCTCTTGGGTTTGGGGATCTATTTTCTTGTCATGCGAAAAAGTGGTTGTTTGGGCCAAGGGAAATGAAGACATACAGGCCATGCATAAGGTTCTCCAGAGCCCTGCTACAATCCAGCCAGCAGCAGCCAAAGACAGCAAGTGAAGGCAACTCCCAGTTGGAGGGGTGGGTCTGCTCACAGTCAGGGATGAGGCTGCTTGAATCGTGTGTGTGCAGTGGGTGAGCTAACTTAGAGCATTTGCACACTAGGTAAACATTCCATCCCAAGCTACATCCCAAGCTTTTGACTTTTAAGAAGTGCATCTACGTAGCTCAGGCTAGCTTTAACTTGAAGGGAATTTTCTGGGACTGCTTTGATGTTTGAACTCCTCCTTGACTCCTGTACAGTAGTGACATCAGAGGCTGAGCTTCTCTCTAACACAAACTACCCAGAAAGGAACCAACTCAAGAGCAGAGACCAAATGTTTAACACAATGCAGTCTTCCAAATCCAGGTCTCTCTCTTTGTCCTCTCCCTGCCCTGGGTCTGATCCTTGCTCATTCCAACAAGTATTAAGCCAAAAGTTAGGTACCATAGCAGAACTTGGCAAAGTCAAGAAAGCCACTAACAGAAATATTCCCATTGCTAAACAGACAAAATGTGATCTATGTACACAATGGATATAAAAAGCATACAATACTGAAACATGGTGCAACATGGAACGAAAACCTGAAATGAAAGCAGATGCAGGGAGCTCTACATATGAACTGTCAGAGGCAAGCCCACAGAGCAAAACCTAGACTAAAGACCCCATGGGAGGGAGGGCTGGCAAGACGGCTCAGTGGGTAAAGGAGCTTGCTGCCAGAGCCTCGTGCCTTGATTCCTGGAGCCCAGAGAAAGATGAAGAAAAGAGCAGCTGCACCAGTAGCTTGGACCTCCTGTACCCGCCACGGCACGCACACTCCCACACGCTATATACATTCATGTAAGCTTTTAAAAGACCCAGGGAGGGCTGGGGGGGGGCAAGCATGCAAAAGCTGCTGACTTCAGCTCAATCTTTGGAGACAGCATAGTAGAAAAGCAGACGTTTGCCTTCTACACGTGTGTTGTGGCACACAAGTCTGTGAGCCCACATACAAACGAGTTTAACTTTTTAAGTAACTAAGAGTTTGTGAGGGAGCCAGGCATCTGTGGAGGAAGGTTACCCCAGGCAACAGCTCCATGATGCCCTTAGTCACAGCTGCTGGTAAAGCAGGGTTCAGCTGAGAGCACTGCCCTTTAACCAATTAGGTTGCTAAGAGAAGTGCAGTTTCAGGACCCGGCGACTCCAAATCCATCTTCCCAAAACATCAACAACTACCACTGCTAACTAAATGGAAGAACTGCCCAACCTGCCTCTTGCCAGGGCCCCGTTACCTTTCCAGGCCAGCTTGATGTTCCACTCATAGAAGAAAATAAGCTTTCCTTTGCGGCTGCTACAAGAAGCCTCACCTTCCACCTGCTTCAACTCACTGATCTCACACCGGCCAGTCTCATTCTCCATCGCGATGCCAACCAGGAGCTCTCGGAGCTTCCCCTTGGACCAAACGGTGGCATCCCGCTCTGTCCTGCCAGAGAACAGAGAGACACGGGTGAGTGACCCAGTTGGCCTCCATCTGCCCAGACACATGCCATCCAGACCTACACCAGGTGAGCCTCCAGCTTGCAAATGTGTTCTCCGTCTAGGTTTCTACTAAGCATCTTCTAACCCTGCTGCTCAGTTTGTTAAGACACTTATTGTTAATCATACAACAGTGGGCAGTCTTAAAAACAATGTCCCCGGGAAGGAGACTCCAGCAATCTCACCACATCCCTGTGGTGTGAGGCCATCTGTGACGGTGGTCGTCATTTAAATAACCTTAACCACAATGTCAATAGTTGAGCTTCTCCATATTTGGTTTATCTTCCGCACTCTCCCTAACGCTCACATCTGAAGGGACGGAGAGCGGCCGTCAGAAGTCAGAGTCCTGACCACCGAACCCAGCCTGGACACCGTTCTTTCAGGACAGCCAAGTCATCTAATGGTGCGGACCGGGCTCTGCCCTTGGAATTGCTTCAGCTTTCCCCAACGCCCGCCTGAGAGGCAGACATCTCCCGGTATTCCAGACACAAAGGGGGCAGGTAGCTAGTGCAAACTGAGACAAAGCGAGGAAAGTGAGACCCGAGTCCCTGCCCTTCCAACTGCACACGGAGACAGCCCTCGGCACACGCACGCGCACTACGCAGCTCAAGCCCGAGGAGGGCCTGGAGAGCGGCTGCCGAGGCACAGATGTCGGGGTGAGGCAGAAGTCCCTCGCGGGGCTTGGCCCAACTTTCAGGAGCTGCAGCCGGAGGGCCGAGGCAGTTATGAACCGTCTCCCGGCAAGGGCAGGCGTGCTGCGGCGCCGCGCGGCCCTCCCAGGAGCCCGCCCGCGCCCGGGGCCCAGCCGCCGCCCGCCGCACCAGTGCCAGTTGTTCACGTTGGTCCCGTCCTCCCGCTCCTCCACGATCCAGCGCGGGTCCCCCTGGCCCCACTTGGCCATGGCGGCGCGAGCGGCGCAGACGACGAGGGCCGGGGTAGCGGGTACGCGCGGGTTTCCGGCCCGATGGTCTGCGAGCCACACGCTCGCAGGTCCCAGAAAGTGCCAGAAGTCCCCGCCCCGGGCCGCTCCGTCCGCGGCCTGCCCCGCCCCCTGCTGCCTGCTGCCCGGTCCCCGCCGCCCGCTCCGCCCCACATCAACTCCGCCCCCTGACCCTGCTCCGCCCCGGACCCTGTTACGCCCCTAATATGCCACACCTCTGGACACCGCCTTCTGCCCGGCTCCTCCCCTGATTTAGTCCCGCCCCCCCACATAAGACTCCGCCCGCCACTGGCCCTGCCCCTCTCCCTTAAGGCCCCCCCGCCTCGCCCCGGGCGCTGATTCTCCCTTAAGGCTCCGCCCCTCCATGGCTCCGCCCCTCTACCCTAAGCCTCCGCCCGCCCTGGCTCCTCCCCTCTACCCTAAGGCTCCGCCCGCCCCTAGCTCGGTTCCTCCCGTAGGGCTCCGACCCCTGGAGCGCCCGGCAGCTCGCTGCTCACTGGTGCGCTGCGGCCCTGCGGCCAGGCCCGGCGGCCAGGCCCTGCAGCCGAGCGTGGCTTCCGGCCTGGGCTGCCTACGGAAGGCCGAGACTCCGCCCAGGGCTCCCAGCCGCGCTGGTTTCCCTATTCCGAGAAGGCGCGTGGGCGGCGAACGAGCTGCGCAGTTCTCTAAGCCCCGCGCGTGGCGTCCCTGAAGGAATACTTCACTATTCACGCAGTGCCTCTCCAGAGACCGACAAGGATTGTGCTTGCAAGCGCATGCGATTGTGGCTTGATACGGTTACAATAGGGTTAATTCTTTCCACCGTCTAGCAAAAACTGCAGCAACCGTCTGGAAAGTGTTAATTCGGCGAAGATAGGTGGTTCAAAGGGAAGGTTGGGAAGGACCTCGCTGTGCTGTGCCCACGCCAGTCAGGGGTCTGCGTGTTTGAGAAACAAGCTGCAGGTCGGAGCTACTGCATTTCAGTGCGTTCTTCAAGAAGTTGCAACACTGCTGAAGCCGAGATGTGACTCCCTAATCAAAACAACATTGTAAGTTCACCCGACAGAAGGCATCCGGGACTCTTGGGGGTGATTGGCGGGCACTTTGCGTGCTTACTTTATATCCAGCTCTAATTGCTCCCAATACAACGTTACACTATAAGGTTTAGATAATCGTTTGAACCTGACAGAAAATAAGGCTTCTGAGGCCATAAGCTGCTACAATCATTACAATACATAAACTTCAAACCTGTATAATGGAAATAAATTCACCAAAATGAGGATGACTCTAGCTGGACCCTGAAGTGCTCTTCAGATCTGCGATTCAAAAACTGGGCTCCAATAAAACTACATTGCAAGAATGGGAAAGAAAGGCAACGGAGAGTAAAAAGGCGGGAAAGGCAGACCCTGAGAAAATTGCCAGGCGGGGGGGGGAGGGGGAGTCCTGGACCAATAGCTGGTGAGGCAAAAGGTGTTACCCTCTGGCGCGTTTATAGACTGACAATATTGGGACCCTAAAGAGATTTCTAATTGTTCAGAGTTGACTGAAGTTTTTCTTAATCTTCAAGAAACTGGTAGAGAAAAAAATTACAAAAAGAAAACCCTTACGTGACGGTGAGCCTGAAGACACCAGAGCAGTGAGAGCAACCCTGGTGGCAGCAGACTGGTCCTGACACGGAGGCGGAGGTCACATGAGGCCCTCAGGGCAGGGTGCTGGCTGAGGCAAAGGGGCAGCGTCCTCAAACTGATTGCTTGGGAAAGACTGACCAGGCATCATTGTCCGCCCCGTCCAGAATGACCTTGATAACTGTTTGTTTATCGTGTGTTTGTCTGCTCACCCAGCACAGGCGTGGAGGTCAGAGGACAACTAGAGTCCGGTCTCTGTATCCACCATGTGGACCCCAGGGATAGGATAATGTCATTGAGTATATGCATATATACATATATGTAGTATTGTATATAAGCTGGGTCTTGTTTTCTAATTACTAGTGTGAAAAAATAACTACATTCTAATGAAAAATAATAATAAAGTTTGGTGTGTTGTTTTGAGAGTAATGGCAATTTGTATGCATCTGTGTGTTTTATGTATGTGCATGCAAGTAAGTGTGCATGTCCAAAAAGTGTCCGTGCATATAAATGCAGAGACCAGAGCAGAGTGCCAGATATCGTTGTCTCCCGTCCCCTTTTTAAACAGTATTTACTGGGGATGGAGACATGGCTCAAGGGTTAAGTACACTGGTTGCGCTTCCAGAGAGCCTGGATTCCAGAATCCACATGGCAGGTCACAAATGTCCATAACTACAGTCCCAGGGGATCCAAAACCCCCTTCTGACCTCCTTGGGTACCAGACATTTGTGAAGCGTATAGATACACATGCTCACAAAACACTCATATACATAAAAGATTTTGATATCTTTTTAAGTGTTTTATTATTTTAACTGTGTGTGTGTGTTGTGGGGATTGTGCACATGACTCAGAGCCAGAAGCCAGAGCCGGGTCACAGGCAGTCATAAGCCCCCTGATGTGGTGCTGGGACTCGAATTCAGGAAGAGCCAGCTCTCCATCCCCTCAAAATATTTTTTAAAAACCAGAAAACATTTATTATTTACATTTGGGATCATGAGTGTGGAGGCCAAAAGGCAGCCTTCAGGACTCTGCTCTCTCCTTCGTCATGTGGCCCCTGAGACCAAGCTCGGCAGCAAGCGCCTCCCCTTCACCCACCGAGCCGTCTCACTGCCAGTTTAATACAGCCCCCACAGCCCGGGAGAGCAGACAAGCCCGGCTTGTTTCCACAGCTGTGCAAGCCTTAGTGGGCACTTCTAGGTTCTTACATGGAAACCTGGGATTTCCACATGCTATGATTCCTGGGCCATCTAAGATGGCCCATACACATGCAGCCATATGGTTGGAGGTGGCACCTCTAGCAGAGGAAACAGAATTTAATAATATAAATTACCAACATGCATGCTTCCTCAGCACAATCCACTCTTTGTGCAGGCTCACTCTTTGCAGTATTTGAGCTACCGAAGAAGTCAGAAAAAATGTTTGTGGCATCAGAATGTTAGCCAACTCTATATTGTTTCCCCTTTTTTAGTAAACAGTTTTATACTATTTGAGGATAAATAGTCCCATCCGTAGAATGTAGATAGTTTTTAAATTATGGTGCATGTTTCTAATTTCAGTACTGGGGAGGCACAGACAAAAATGGCTGTGAGTACTTGTTCAGCCTGGACTACAGGATTGAAACTCTGTTTCAAAGTAAATACATTTTAAAAATAAAAGAGTGTTCCCTGGGCTGGAGAGATGGCTCAGCAGTTGAGAGCACTGGCGGCTCTCCAGAGGACCTGAGTTCAGTTCCCAGCACCCACATGGTGGCTCACACTGTTTGCAACTCCCAGGGACTCCAGCGCCCTCTACCGGTCTCAGCAGCCACAGCTGTAGTGCACAGACATACCAGCAAAATACCACATACAAAAAATGCATTCTTTTTTTAAAAAGTGTTGCCTCCAGGTGACCAGCACACACTCTCACTGGAAATTTGGCACTGGCTGCAATTCCATGTCACAGCAGACCTACTAGCTGTTCTGAGGAGTCACCATATGCATGCATTTCTTTTTATAATTCTGATGCCTAAGTTTGCATCCAGCTTCCTTTGCACTCACCGGAGACATGAAACACATCTGCCTCAGGCACACATGGCCGCTGCAGCCCAGAGCTGGCTGCGTTGAGGCTCCGCTCCCTCTACTCTGTGTTCTTCGGCATGCCACCACAGTGGGGACCAGGAAGGCTGTCTCAATATGTGTGGGTCCCAACCTGTTGATAAAGTCTCTCTAGGAGGTAGGGACAATGGATTTTTAGATTATGCTTATGCATTTGTGGGCGTGGGAAGGGCAGGAGACCCCTGTAGGAATCAGTCCTCCCTTCTGGAACTCAAACTCAGCATATCCAGCTTTGTGGCGGGCATCCTTACCAGAGGCCACCTCCCTGGCCGTAACCTTTTCCTTAGTGACAGAAAGAAGTTTAAAGGATCAGAGTGATTACATATGGTTAAGGGAATTGTTTGTACTTGTATGTTTAACCATGCGTATATGTCTGAGTGTGGGTACGTGCCTGTGCAGCGTAGGCGCCCTCCAGAGCCCTTGGGTCTCCCGGAGCTGAGGTTACAGGCGGTTGTGAGCCACCTACAATGGTATCAGAACTCAGGCAACTGAGTTTGGCTCCTCTGCAAGAACAGTATGGTGACTAGACTCTCTCTCCAGCCCCAAAATAGCGTGTATTTGCTTAACTTTTATTTATTTTTATGTGTATGGGTGTTTTACCTGCATGTAAGTCTATGTACCACCTGAATTCAATGCCCACAGAAGTCAGAAGAGGGCACTGGATCCTCTGGTATTGGCATTAAGGCAGTTGTGAGCTGTCGTCGTGTGGGTGCTTGGGAATCAAACCCAGGTCCCTTGGAAGAGGAACCAGTGCTTTTAATCACTGAACAATCTCTCCAGACTCCAAAATACTGTATACTGTTTCTTAAGGTGTGTGTGTGTGTGTGTGTGTGTGTGTGTGTGTGTGTGTACTTAAATTGTGTGGGTTTCTGTTGTTGTTTAAGTTTGAAGTCAGGCACTCTGATACACACCTGTAGTCCCCAGCTACTCTGGAGGCTAAAGGAGGGTCACATCAGCCCATGAATCAGGAACAGCCTAGGTAATGTGGCAAAGGCCATCTTAAAGGGATGAATCAGACAAAGCAACGTGAAAACACTGCTTGCACCACTTGTAACAAACACAAAGCCAAACTGTTCAAAGCCACATTTACCTGCTGTGTGCCCTGACTGGCCCTGGCTTCTCTCCACTGCTGCGATAGCACCGTGAAAAAATAACTAAAGGCAAACTAGGGAAGACAGGGTTTCTTTAGCTTACAGGTACAGTCCCTCATCCGAGGAAGCCAAGGCAAGATCTCCAGGCCAGAACGTGGAGGCCAGCACTGAAGCAGGGACCATGGAGAGCTGCAGCTTACTGGCTTGCCTCTTCTACAAACCCAGGCCACCTGCCCAGGAGTGACACTCCCACTGACATGCCCACAGGCCAGTCTGATGAAGACAGTTCCTCACTGGAG